AAATGAAGTGAACGGATTCTCTGATTCAGATGCCGCTCTTGCCACTGCCGCTGCCACATCCAGAGTGGCAAGAGTGGCGGCAGTGGCAGGAGTGGTCGGAGTGGCAAGAGTGGGTGGCACTGCTAAAAAATGAAATACGTAATAAAGGAGGAAAAGAAAACAAACGCTCTTACTGCGTCGGAGAACAACAAACAAAAGGCGGGCACCCCAGCACCCGCACTCACCGAACAGTGGCCCCTGAAAGTTTTCGCCCAACCCAGAGACCCAACGAACGAACCCAACGACCGAAGACTGTGCCGCTGACAATAGAAATGCGTTCGAAAAAGTTTATTTTATTTTGTTTTATACTATTTGTGTGTGGCATTTGCCTCTGAGGCGGGGGCGGGTTGGCGACGCACGAGTTTTTCATTTGATTTCCGCTTGCCACACTTTTTGTGACCTATGACCCCCGTCCTCTTTGCCTCTTCGTGTGACACCCTGGGCCGAGTCAGAAACAGAAACAGGACCACTAGCAGTAGCAGGTCCTGCCAGGTCCTGCCCGTTGTCGGGCAAAGGGCTGCCTCGGTCAGCGGGCCAGAGAGAGCGTATGTTTGTTCACAAAAGGATTAAGTTGGTTCTCCACACACACACACTCATACACATCCTGTGGAGCAGGACATCCCCGCGGAGTAGTTTGGGGGGAAAATGGCTTCATTTGCGAAAAAGCCAGTAATGATATGGCGGTGACTCACATTTTCTATGCAAATATATATATATACTTTTATTCCTTCTGATATTTTTGACACTGAAACAAAAATTTTTGGCTTAAAGCTATCAATAGGGGAAGATATTTTAAAAGGTGTTTCAGATTATGCACTTGAAGAAAAATATTAAAAGTAAAAAAATAGAAGAGAAATAAGTGATTCCCAAAAAAACTTTCCTTCCTGATTTTCAACTTAGGGCTTAGAACCAGTGATAAAAAAAATATATAAAGTCTTAAAATTAAACCAATAACTAGGTTTTTATTTTCTTAATATTTCTTATCTATTTTCCCTCTCAAACTTCTCTCCCTTTTCTTAAAAATCTCTTAATTCTCAGCTTAGTTTTTGAGTTTATTTTATTAATTTTCTCAGTGTTTAAAACCCATTTGCCAGACGGAGTTTTCATGGCTCACACACACACACACCCTTACACACAAGTCCTTTTGTTTTTTTTTTTTGTATTTTTTTTTTACGGTCCAAGTTGGCAAAATTCAATTGGGGCTAACTTTTTGCGGCTTAGCGCCTTTGACATTCTAATGCAAATGCTGATTCCCGGCCATTTGGCAATTCGATTTGAGGCCGACGGAGGTGAGTGCGTTCGAGTCCTTTTTTGGTGAGAGTTTGGCCGGCTTTTTGGTCATGGCCGGGTCGTCAGTCAATTCAATTAAATCCGTCCCCGGGGCTTGGGCGATAAACGAAGCCGATTATTGGATTGTGCTTAATGCCCGCAACATAAATCTCCATTGCGGGGCGGCAATTAAAATTTATCTTTAATTGGCACGTGTCCTGCCAACTGGCAAATGGTAACAACCAACTGGCTTCTTCAACTTTGCTCGGCACAGCCTTATCGAAGGCTTCCCCCCAAATCGCGCACCAGGATGTGGCAGGTGGCAAGGTGCCGAGGTTCGTTCGAGGCAAGACCGTGGCACTGGGCACACCTGCCGTTTAACTTCTGCTAAAGCCAACTTACAACCATCTTTTTTTATGTGTGTGTGTATGTAAGAGAGGGGTGAGGGCGAGTCCTTGCAAAAAGAAGCAAAATGTAATTCGGATTTAATTGCCTGTTAACACGCACTCGCGCATAGCGGGCACGACCGGTAACAGCTCGTAAAAAAGGGCCAGAGGCAGTGGCAGGAGCAGGACCTCCTCCGGGGCAAGGATAACCGAAAGATAAATGCTCTTAGGAATGCCTAAAAAGAGGGCTACTTACTTGACTTAGATAAATATTTTTTAGAATTATTTTAAAATATTTTTTTCAACAAAATCTTAGAGATCAAAAATAAAAAGCTTATCTTAAATCCATAAATGGTCAAAAATTGAAACAAGATACTTATTAAATAAGAAAATAACTACTCATAAATCCAATTAAATAATAATATATTGTTTCTAGTAGTTAACTATTTCTGAAATATTTTTTTTTTGGCCAAGAGTATTTCAAAGTTCCCCCCAAAGTGTCTGCCACCGGAGGAGGCATAACACATATGAGTTAAAACAAGAGGAAACAGTTAAGCACAAAGTGAACAGCTCGTAATTTAAGCGGCTTTGGTTTTTGGGAAACTTGAATTTTTTTTTCGCCTTTTTTTTCACAAAGCCGAGGTGTAGGCTGCCCTCCTCTGGTTCTTCTCCTTGTCCTTCCAGCTAATCAGGTTTAGTTTCGAAACGATAAGCTTTCCCCGCAAAAATGCGCAAAAATTCTCGGCCATAAAAACAGAATGCTTTGAATAACTATTAAATTTTGCCTGGAATTGTGCGAGGCACAAGGCAATAAGGATAACAGCAGGCACATGGCCAACATCAAGATGGCAACTGCAGGACTCGCATGTCCTGGAGGCAGCCGAGCCAGTGCTGAAGTCGGCAGAAGGCTGAGATAGACACGAGATATGTGGCAACTGACATTCATTACGACATAAATTCGTTTAGTTGCCTGGACCCGAAGATAGCACACAAACAAAATGCCGAATGCCGACAGGATACGGCAGGATATATGCAAAAACAAAAAAAAATGGATGGATGGAGGGAGGGAGTGGCTAAGACTTTTCAGGACTTTTACCAGCAGGTACTTGGATGGAAATAAATAAGACAAAAGGCCCTCGAGAGTGTGTGTAATTTAATAAGTTAATAAATGGCAAAGGATAACAAGGATGTGGCTTCAAACGACTTGACTGATGGCACTAAAAAAAAAATCGGGAAGCAGAAGAAGAAGACCTAACCCAAAAGTTGAAATGGCAAGGACATGTGTGCATCCTTGGCACTTCCTTGACGATGGAAACATTACACAGTTTTTGCCTAATTGCCCACTTAAACGTCAGTTAAGGCATGCAACCAAAGAACCGTTAACATTGCACTCGCACACGTACAGTATCCTGTCATCACATACACTTGTACACTTTGTTGCAACAACAATGACTCTGACTCCGTTATGAAAACAAATGAAACAATTAATTTGATTCCGTTCTCCAGCCAAATCCTATTAACTGCAACGTAAAAGAAATGCTTTCTCCCACGGGCCACTTGGGTCTTACGTACTTACTACCTTTTCAGTGTGTGTGTTTAAGTGTGTGTGTGGCAAGGACACTCTCATGTGTGTGTGTGTGTGTTGCCACTTTCATGCATACTTAATTTGTCAGCTCGGCGCAGGTTTACACCCATTTTAGATACCGTTAACTAACTAACTGTTGCTACCCACACACCCCCCACTACGCCCATGGGGTGAATGGTATGCTTTACACTGGAAGAAATAGGTTTCTTTTTAAAAGGAAGGGTTCTAGTTCAAGTTTTTTTTTTATTTAATTTATTATTTGTTTTATTTAGTTCCAAATTTAAAAAGGATTTATTTTTAGTTCCCGACTCCATCATTCTCCAACTGGTCCTATTTTCTTTAGGTGTATAAGGACACCCTTTTGGTGGATGGGGTGTGTGTGTGTAAGGGTTATGGTCTGAAGGTGTTAAAGGGTTGGTGGGTGAGTAGGTGGGTGGGTGGAGGCTTGGGTCTAGGCCAAGACGATGGCCTGCAGAATTTATGGCCGCTCACATAAGGCGCCGCAAGGTGTTTTCATTTAAATTTTAGGACGGCTTAAGACAGGTCGAACTGGGAAGGACCTTCTGCCTCCTGCCTGATGCCTCGCTGCTACCCAAAGGCAGCACTTGAGTTATGCATTGAAATTTAAACTATGCATGTGCTTTAGGAGCTATAAAGGAGTGGGGACACTGACGTGGCAGGGGCGCCACCAAGAAGAGTCCTGCCACGCGACTCTAGTGTCAAAATGGAAGAGAATCGCGAAAGTTGACAGGTGTGTGTGTGTGTGTGTGTGTCGGGGAGTGTGTGTTTTTGTTAGTGGTGGTAATTAGAAAATTTTATGTGATTACTACCATATACACCACACACAAGGACACACGGACAGAAGGACATACATAGATGTGTGTGTGTTTCCTGGGATGGCGACAAAATGACAAAAAGAGCGACAATATGACAGAGTTTTGGGGGTAAAAAGTACAAAAGCGCCTATTAGAATATTAATGGAATACTAAAATAGAACGTCAAGTGTGGGAAATTTTTCGAACCTCGTTCCCATTCCCATTTAGCCAGGTCATACAAATTAACCTCGAAAAAGGGTTAAAAAGTTAAGACCATAAATGATGCAGAAACCAATCAAGAATGCAACTCAATAAGTGTTTATTTTTTTGAACATTTTTGAAGCTTTTCAAAATCGAAATTGAAGCATTAACTTTCACTTCAAAGCTCGGGTATTTTATTTTCTATTCCCTTGTTCGACTCAGAGTTCAGAGTTCAGAGCCAGTGAGCTCGGAGAATAGCTCAATTGGCCCGAAACAGTGGCGTACTCGTTCGTGTCCTGGAAACTCCCACAACGACGACGGCATAGAGAGGTAGAACCTAGTCAGGACGTCCTTAACGTCCTTCGAATTCCAAAAGTGCCAGGAAGGCGTCAACCAACGAGGAGCACTCGTCGGCTTGAGTCCTTTTTTGAGTCGTTTCGGGTCGCTTTTGTGGCAAAAAGTGCGCACAATCCCCACCGTCGAATAAAAAATCCGTACAGCCAACCAATTGCAGGATCCAGGACATCAAGTTCCCGCCCGTCTTCTAAGGATTCTATTCTTTCTTTTCTTTTTTTTTGTTATGCATGTATTTTTTGTTTGTTTGGTGTATTACAATACATATATATATATAATATATATGTGATATAAAGTTTATATCCATTTATTCACTTATTTATTTTCGTCACTAGTTGTTTTTTGGGTTTTATTTTAAACATTATGTTTCCTAAATCGTGCTAAAAAAAATTCAACAACAAATTAAACTTAATGCCTCTCTAAAAGCATTTCTTTCTCATTATGTTTACATACGTACAGATACATATACATTTATTATTTTAATATTATTTATTTATTTATATATAAATATATCTATATATCTATATATATCAGTGTGTATCCTTACACTTGACAAATTCAACGGCAATTTTCATTATTTTCAACTCTATTCAATATTCGTATTTATTTATAATTTTAATATTTCATATCCATAGCCATGTTCGAACTCATATTTATATATAATATTTAATATTTATAGTTGGTTAATTATATATACTATTACTTTCCGTTTTTAAACATTACACATATAACTATGTAGCTCTTGCGATTCATTTAATGATATTTCATTGTCTTCGTATTGTGTTTTAATGCCATTTCATTGAGTATTCTGTCGGTAGTGGTTGTGGTGGTGGTGATTACTTTATATAGACCTATATATTGGGGTATTATCTACATGAGTTTATCAATTACTATTACTGGGTATTATGTATCCATCTATTTACAATCAAGTCAAGGGAAAGCGGTGATCTTTATTCAATCATTTTCGTAGGCACACTTTCACAAGGAAGTTGAGTACAGTTACACTGATTTTCTTGCTGCACCGATTTATAAATCGGTTATTATATAATATATAGTAATACGAGTGCCTGTGCCTTGATATATCTATATATATATATATGTTATGTTTATTTTGGTATATGTCTATGAAGGATATGCCTATGTCTCTGAATTGCCTTTTCGTTTAGTTAGTCTAGTACACAACATCCAAGTGTCTAAGAAGCTCTTGATTTTGTTCTTCGAATACCGGCCGAAGGACGAAATCCTCCAGCCAGGATATACAAAAGAATTATGAACGCAGGATGCAGGGTATATATGTATATGTCACTATGTTTTCCTTTCATCTATGTTACACTTTAGGAGGTTAATGGGGGGGATATTTAACGATTAGTGTGGTGGTGACCGGTGGCTGGCTTACTCCCTTCGCTCCTGCTGATCCTTGGGGATGGGAATCACCTGCAAACGGTGGAATCATCGCCGGCACATATGGAGTGTGGCGCCGCCAGAAATAGCTTGCCACTGGAGCAGGCACACAGCTGGAAGACACGATGCATATGGTCCCGGCTCTGGGCAGTGCCCATGATAGGTGGCTGGGCAGTCCTTAAATTCGGCATCAGGATCTTTGAGGATTCCAGACGTAGCTAATGGGATTAAAGTTAAAAAAAATGGGAAAGAAAATAGTTGAAATTTTTAAGTAAAATATATTTTTTAAAGCCCTTTCCCTTTGCCCTGTTCCAATCACCAATCATACTTACGCTTCCGTCCAAGGCTCGGAACTTGACATCTTCCAGGGACACCACTTCGATGCCGCCGGCCCGCGATTGCAAATTGATGTCCTTGGCGGCCGTCATCTCCAATTGGCGGGTGGGCGACTCCAGTCTGTAATTAAATCACTTTGGTCAGTCCATGAAGGTCCTGGCATTACACGGGGAAAAATATTCAGAGCTAAGGTTAAGGGGAGACGCTTAAAGAGCCTTAAGAGAAGAGTCCTTCCAGTTAATAATTTTTTATAGCCTATATTTAAGGGTCTTTTTGGAGTTACTCTTTTTAAGCCCTTCTTTTCTATATCTTCATGTTTAAAATCTAGAATATATATATTATATTCTTGCTGTGCACTTTATTTGAAGCCGAACGCCAAAAAGGACTCTACAGCCTGTCTAATGAAACGGAAAGTCGTTGAATTGCGACCCAGCGACTGAAAAAGGACGATGGCGATGATTTAAAAACATTGCAATTTCAATTTGAATTGCTGCTGTGACTTCCCTGTTGCTTCTCTATGATAAACCATGTGTGTGTGTGTGTGTGTGGGGGCATTTGCAACCTGGTGGCAGGCTGCATCGTTGTTGCCAGACAATTTGTAATTTTGATGAACCAACATGAACAGGCATCGGGGCTATCACCAAATTTGTCAATGAAAATGTTATTACAAGCCGCCGATCCCCTTAATGGTTCATATGTGTACACACAACACCGCAGATGGATTGCTGGATTGTCAGATGGATGAACGGATGGCAGGATTGGCACTGGATGGCCACCCAGAGAGGGTGGCAGTGTCACATAATGCAACAAGGACTACCCCAGAGGGGGTCCATCCATGTCGCCCCTTTGGCGCTTTTTAATTCACTGCCAACGTTTGTGGACATTCAGACAAATGTGTATAAATATTTTCGTTCCCCAATCCACCGAGCTCACTGAGCTGAACACCGACACCTACCTACCGAGGGTTGTGTGTGGCAGTTGCATACATATGCAGTTGGCCCCCCCCAGGACCCACCATTCAAACCATTTTGTGGCAGGTTATGTGTATGTGTGTGTGCTGTTTTTTTTTTTGTTACCGTCACCGCAAAAAGGTGACACCCCAACACTGAACACTGAGTGTTTGCTTTTAATTTTTTATTTCTACCAGATTTCTCCTCTTCCCGTCATCGACTAAGGCTGGCCAGGATATGGGCCACAGGATACTGTAACTGTATCCCTTGACTTTTTCAAAATTTATTACACTCCTTGTATTTCAACAATTTTTCCGATTATTTTCCCAGTTTTTTATATGAATTTACTTTAATTGGAGGATCACCTCCTTCAACTCACCTCAGTTCTCGTCCTGGCTCTGCTCGGATGTGTGGCGTCTGGACGGATTCCCGGAACACGGCACCGCCCTCACCGTCGATCCGCAGGGAATGGGCACCGATGGTGACCTCATCCCGGTTCACCGAAAACAAACTCCGTCCGTTGGTGTCGTTGATGCGAAATCCCGACGACAGGCACTCGAACTTATCGTGTCCCAGAAATAAATGATTCTCAATCATGCCATTCGGGTCACGTGTATTGATTGAAAAATTACGTGATGATTCTGATGATGATGATGATGTTGGTAGTATTTTTTTGGAAGAGAATTTCAGAGAAGATGTCATAGATATTTTGGTTGAATGAAGGATATATTATAGACAATTAATCCGGAATGCTTGTCTGACAAATGCGGGTAATTTTAGCAGTAATTGCAATATAAATAAGTAAACAAGCCAGCCATACATTTGACATTTGAAGAGGGGTGTAGAGGGGGCTAAGAGGACATCTAAGAGGAAGTGGAAGTGGCAGGCACCTAAGATGATAACACGTAACAAGACGGCGGAAACGGAAATCAAATTTCGACCCGCCATCGCCATTTCCAGCGTCATTGTCTCCCCCTGGATTTTCATGGCTTTTCCACGGCAGTTTCTCATCTCATACACCGGGAGACAAGTGTTTTAGAAGGTTTTATTATATTTCTAAACTAAATACTTATTCTGGAGGATTTTTTAAATATTTTTCTTAAAGAAAAATAAGGTCCAAACATAAGGTACTACTTTGTTTATGCTTTTTGGTCGTTTTTTTTGTGATTTTAAACTTTTGGATCTTAATATTTTCATTTAATTTTCATGCCTTTTATAAAAATAAACACTTAGGGATTGAAAATTCGAAGAGTATTAAGCCTAAAGCCATTAAAAAAGGTCTCTAAATTTAAAATATTTTTTACTATTTTGTTTCTTTGAAAGCTAATGATAGTATCGATAGTATTTCAATAACTAATCTCTGTGCCAACTGTGAAGTACTCCTTAGAAGCTCAGATCTATGCATTCCATTTCAATATTTGTTAAGCATTATATTTAAAACAAAGCAAGAACCTCAACTCTAACTACTTGCCACGGTTTTTTGTCCCTCATTTGTTAAAGATCTTTATCATTATTTTTTTTCGAAGTACATCTACCTAGAGATCCTGTCAACCGTCACAGTCTTGTGCCCACATCCGCGTGCGTGTCTGCGGTGCTACTTATCGCCCCGGGAAATGCTACTTCTACCAGCTCCACTCCCAGCTCCATCTCCGAGGACTCCTTCTCCAACTCAGTCTCCTGTCCATTCCGTGATAGCAATTTCTTGTCGACACATGGACGAAGGTCTCCTGGCAATCGCATCCGTCTTCTTTGGGCATCCTTTCGCACGGTTTATCTGTAATTGTACATCTTGGCTGGTTGGCTGGTTGGCTGGCACTGGAGCAGGAAGGATGGTGTTGCTGCCCCCGATCTCATTTGGTAACGCTTAGTGTCTCTGATTTCCTGCCTCAACCTCACCCTCCACCCCCCACCAACCACACACACACATACAGAAACGTTGTTGATATCCGTTGATTTATGTCTTGACTGGCAACGGCACACATTTGTCCTGAATCGTGTTTGCCGAGACCTGCTGTGTGTCCTTTCCCTTGCCACCGCACCACCTTCCACACACACATCCTTGAATGCTTAAACCCTCCAGCGGAGGTGAACAAAATGAGGCTGCACAATGGCGTCGGCGGCGGTGTCGGCGGACGCAGTTCATTAAACATGCACTGCCCCACCATTCAGCCAGTCATCCAGCAGTCTGTACGGGTGTCCGCATTGTCCGGGTTGTCCGCGTGTCCATTTGTCCGGCCCTGTGCCTGTCCGGCTTGTCCATACATTTCAACCTCTCCATGACTTTGAAAATGTGGCCAAGGAAGGTCAGTGTGAATATTGATGCAAAACCTTAACCAATGTGTCCATTTATGAATTGAATATTAAGAGAGGTGGGGGGCTTAAGCCGGAGGCTAAGCGGTGCCGCATGTATGACGTGCATGTTCGCGCCTAATCGCCCAATTTAGCCAGAAGCCAGTAGCAAGAACAACATGCAACAACACATGCAACAACACACACTCACTCAAACACACCAAACACTCACCTATGGAAAGGGGCTGGCCGTGACGCGAACGGATCGTGGAGGCGCGCAGCATGTCCATAATTATCGCTTGTCCCGACAACTGAATGCCACCGGGCACGATTTTGAGCTGACCCATGCCCTCCTGAAAGCGAAACCAAATCAATTTGGAAACAGAAACAGAAACGGGGCATATTTTGGGGCATGAGGACAGGGTTGAGAGATTAACAAATTTTCGGTTCTGGATGATATTCAGCCGGGGGGCTGTGTTAACCAATTACCGTTGAGAACTCCATCACTTTGAGTATCCAGAGGGTGAGCACCAGATTCGTGATAATCAGCAGCATTAGGAGCAACAGTAGCGTATATAGGCACTTCTTTCGCCAACCAATTAAGCCCAGATATGTTTCGATGCCGCCAACGAATCCATCAACATTGCAACGTGCCGATCCACTACCATTATTGGTTCCGCTACCGTTACCGGTTCCTGTTCCTGTTCCGGATCCGGTTGCTGTACCACTGCGTCCACTCCTGTGGCGACCGTGACCATGGCTGACGGTCGCCTTGCCGGTTGTCGTTGCCGCCGTCACGGTTGTCATGGCACCGCCACTTGTACTGGTGCCACTTGCAGTCGTGTTGTTGCCTCCTTTGCTGCCACCTGGACAGGTGCGGGCGCTGTTGCTGCTGCTGGCCGTCATCCCGCCCTTGCCGGCCTTGGGCGGTCGCTTTGAGGTGGTACCCTGCCGGGTCGAGATGGTGTTGCTGCCAAAGTTGCTGCTTTCGCCGCCACTGCCACCAGCCAACATCGCAACTTAGCAACTTTCCACCACCCTTGGGATGTTCATGATTGTCTGGACTCGATCTGAAAGGGATAAAGATTTGAGAAGTAATTAATAGGATATGCTGTGAAGGACCAAAAGGACCTCAACTGCGTTTTATTTACTGCATCCTTAATGCCCAGTTTACTCAAGAATTAAAGGCACTCTGCCCCCCTCCCACCGAGAGTGAACCAAATTGAGTTGCAAGTAAACGGCTGTGGAAGTGGAGACATGGGGATTACTCGTACAACAAGCACACCCAGATGCAGTTTCAGTTGCATATTCAGCTTGTGTTGCAGTTGCACTATGCCTTCATATGAAGGAGGGGCGAACCATAAATCTTCCCTACAAGGATAATATGTCGCCTCGTCTTTATGGAGTTCTCGTTTGGCCAGAATGGCATTAAAATATGCAGCAGGCTGTTGCAGTTAGTACTGCTGCCATGCTGCCACATACTGCCACACACGGCCACGCGTCCAATAAAATTGCTTCAGTTTCAGTTGCAATTGCAATTTCAGCAGCAACAGCAACACAGTATATGGAACAGCAACTGCAACAGTTGATGACTTTAGTGGCGTCAGCTGTTGGCGACTTCACACGTGCAGCTCTTCAATTATGCATGCCTGCAGGTGTACGTACTACCTGTATACGCTATTTATATACTGCCTGTTCAGGTGTCTCTCTGTGCTACATTTTGTGGCAGTGTACTTGTGCTGCCATACATTTACATGCATCAACTGCGAAATGGGCGGACTGGGTGTATTTATTAAACCATTCTGTCAAAAGAAATCATAATAAATAAAATAAAAAATCATAAATGAATAAATTATAGAGTTTTTTTTTTTGCTTTCGCCCCAAGCCCCAAGCCACGTACGTATCCATGCCTCGTGCCACATAAATAAATAAGTAATTCTAGCGAGTTGCAAGTAAATTATTTTCCAGCCAATCTGATGTCAAAGGTAATCAGTTGATTGCTGAAAGCTTTTTCTCACATTAAAGGTGATATAAATTCATTCAAAATTTTCAATAATCTTTTGCTGTTTATTTGTTTTTGTTATTTTGGTTTGGAATCTTTCGTCATAGTATCTTAAAAATGGAAATACACTTCGGCGGACTCTCAATAAAAATAAAAAAATGTATAAATAAATGTATAGATAATTTTTTGTTTTTGTTTGAAATTTATTTTTATTCATTTCGTAAGTACACGGTGTGTTCTCCTGATCAGTCCACCACAAGAAACGAAGGCCACTATTCGAACTGGGGATCTTTTCCACATGTGTACCGACCAATTGCCCGTAAATATATATTTTACGATCTCAGGTGAGGACCCGGTCACCTCATCGTGCGGCTGCCCCAGCACTCTGATTTGTTTATATTTTCCGTATTGTTTATATAGTCTGTGCTGGCCATTACCTGAATTGTTTATGGTTGGGGTTTAGTGCATTGAAAGTGCCGACTGGCAGAGAACAGTGGCTGATAATGGGTTGTTTCTGATCTCCAATGATCGGCATTAAAAAACATAAAATATACCTTAACCTTGAAACACTCACTGAGTAATTAACAGATTAGTTTAAAACTTTCCGAATAGTTTAATTTCCATTTTAAACCCAAAACCCTGGAGGTAGCTAATGTAGCCATTTGTTAGCCGAGTCCTTCCTGCCCTTGCCCGAAATCTGAACAGAGCCCGAACAAGGATCGTGCCCCAGGAACTACTGCCACTATTTGGTTGAAGTTGAAGTTGATTTAGTATCTGCAGACAGCCGGTTGGCTTGGAGCACGCACCCAAATGACGGGATCACGGAGTATGGAAGCTGGATGGAGAGTCCGGGATGGCGGATGGAGGACTAAAAGGACTAAAGGTTGTAGGTTGGCGAGTGCAATATAAACTCCTTCACTGAGCACACTGGCATCACGTACGGCACGTTACAGTAAAGTTGCCCGCTCACTTAATTTTGTTGCTACAATTTTTGCTACTTTTTTTCTGTTATCCTTGTTGCCGTTCTCGTCCTTGCCACTGCCACTGTTACACGTTTTTATGGCAACTTGTGTCACATACTGACTGGCCCACGACTGCAGATTTTCCGTTTCCGTTTACATTGTGATATTCAAAGGAAATTACTCCGTTTTTCCCACTGAACTCCGAACTCCACCATCTCCACTGTCACGGTCGCCATGTGCATACGCAGAAGCTATGTATTTAAAGTAAAGTGAAAATCCGGATCGGACAAAGCATCGGAAGCGGCAACTTATGTTTCTTCCTTGAAAGTCCTCCACAGGCAACTCCAAACTGGTTAATTTAAAGTGAAATGGGCTTATGTCGAGGCAACCGCAGGAGACGGACGGTCGGACGGACGGACGGACAGAATCGGTCTGGGATCGGATGTTGGATGGAGTCAGGTGGCTTTGCGTTGGCCTGCCCCAGCCACTGCCAGTGTCCGTTTATAGAAATGAACTCGTAAATGGAAAGTATTGCATTGTCCTGCTATTAAGTTATCAACAAGGACAGACACACAGACACAGACACAAATGGGAAGACCCATATGCATATGGAAAGGGTTCTGTGGAACAGTCTGTGCTGCGGCACAAAGCACGTTCTATGGGGCATGGGTTCTAATATGGGTCTGGGTCCGTGTACTGGGTGCTGGCGTTTTCTCGAGTGGTTTCGGGGATAATACTGTTACTCCAACTTCAAAACACCAACAGCAACAGAGCAACACCAACTGCGGCACAGCCGTTTCATATTTTGCAACAATTTCGTGTCGTGTCTTGGTGGAAGGATGAAAGGCAGGAAGGTGCTCGGTGCTCGGTGGCAGAATAGTTGCCACACTTAATGGCGCTCGTACGTTTTGGCAGCAGCAGACAACACTTGTTGTCCCGCCTGTATATTGTTATGTCCTTGTTGCCGCCTGCAGGACATTTTTATTCCAATCATGCGTAAGTGGCATAAGGACTGTAAACCTTTACTTGCCCCCTCTTAACTCGCCGCTGTGCCTTTTATGGAAATAAACTACATAATGTAGGGACTATTGCCTTTTGGCAATGCTCCAGTTTAAATTGAAGCTCTTTTGCCTTTTTGGTTTTTAAATAATTTTGGACTAAGGCATTTTTTTCTTTTAAAAAACTTATTTTTAATTGCTCTATCGAATTAAGTTCAATACCTATAACTTTATCTTTAATTTATTTCAAAATTGGTTAAATAAATCCATTTGATTTTGGAATTTGAAGCAAATGATCTTGGTTTATTTTGGCACTATTTGTTATAAAACTTTCATTTGTATTGTACTTTCTTTAATATAATTTTTTGAGTATAAATTAATATTTATTTTTGCAAATAATTATTAATAAATAATTTTAATTAGGTATTCTTAATTGGTGAATAGTTATACTTTTGTTGTTAATAAAAAAAGGTACGAATTGGAAACTTTTAAGATTTTAAAAACATCTTTCGAAAACTGCAGACACTATAGCTAAACTATAACTTTCTCATTATTTTATTTAGAAACCCCTTTCTTTTGGGAGATCCAACAAAATTTTAATAAGTTTCTTCAGATTGGTAAGAAATCAATTTTTTTATGAGAAAAGTATCAGAAAAGTACTGGGTATCCTACATAGGTTCTTTTAATTATTCCTTCTGTGATTTATAAAGCCTTTTTGAATTAAAAGAGTCTTCAAAGAGTTCAGAGATCACTAAACCTACAAAGAGAAATCTGGAAGTTTTTGTTTAAAAATTTGCAACCTCTAAGCAATAAAATTTCTAAAAGAATTAGCTTTTTCAAAAACCCCATTTATTCAACACTTTAGCACAAAATATTTCCACTTTCATAGTTCATATTTTGATTATAATTTTTGTTTTTAATTCTACGTACTTGTTCACTTCCACGCCGTCATAAATGTTTGCCAAAAAATCAAAAAACTGTCGCTCGAAAGTGAGCTGTCACTCAGAATTTCGAGAAAAGATATTATTTTGTCCAACGCGGCGAAGATTACGACACTAAACGATCGCGATGCCAAGACCTTCGCGATTTTTGAATCTGAATTTCGATTTCAAAGAGTAGTGCTTGATCGATGACACACCAAAAAACTAGCCAACGAAAAAAAAAAACGAACAAAAAATTATAGACAGAGAGCGAGAGCACTGGAAAACGCTTCTTTTGAAAAATAGTTCGAAAATGTCTTCGTTTTGAGAATATTAAAAATATCTTTGAATTAGTTCTCTCGAAAATGTAGGGGAGCGTGCACAGTCCGCACTCGTACACGCTGGCACAACAACTGACGTCGCCCACGGATTTGACTTTGCCGGAATGCTCCCAGCCGGATTACGATTTTTTTTTTTGAATTTTTTGCCGGACTCGTGCCCGTAGAGCTTTCGAACGAACGGCGCCAAAAGTTTCACTCAAACATCGGTTGGCTGGGAAGCAATGACTCGGCCCGAATCGTTCCATTTCGGCAAACACTCGACTTTCAGGCACTTCGGACTCGGTTTGTTTACAATTTCCATGCCACACGAGTGGCAGCAACACGTGGCAGAATCAACCACGTGTTGCTCTTCTGTTCTCGAGGGTGAATCCCAAATCTAAGAACTTAAAAAGCAACCAAAAAAGCTGATTAAAGTTCCAAACAGATTGCTTTAATTATTCAATGACATTTTCCTTTGTGTCCTTTTGCCTTATGCCATATGCCACATGCCGCATGCCACTTGCCACTAGCCTATTTATAAATTAAAAGCCTGTTCATCTTTGGCCAAAAGTTCATAATTTTTGCGCCTTCATTAGGGGCGGTAACGGCTGCCTCACACATGCCTCCTTCTAATTGTCCTTACCAGCAGCTGTTGTTTTTGTTGCCACACCCCCCAACCCACCACATATGCCACCCAAAAAAGCGCAGAGGTCAGGTGGGCGGGTCTGTTTTGGGGCCACAATTGTCCCCAGGAGATCAGGGATGCCGGGGTTTCAGGAAACAAAAACTGCCGGTTGCCGGATCCGCCCACCACTTCTGCCACCAGCTGCTCCACATTTTCTCTTGGGCTGGCTTGTACGGGGCTATGGCCGAAAAGACTTTTGTAGTCTTTCCGTTCCAAGGAAGCCAAGAAGCCCAGCAAGCAGCATGGTGGCTGAAAATTTTTAGCCAACCCCGCCCTCGGGGCAGCCACACATGTTAATTGTTCTCCAGAATCAAGGAAAGGGTTATTTGCCATCCTGCCATCCTGCCACTCCCTCGTCTTTATGCATTTATAATATTTTCAACTTGTTTTCAACTGGTTTTTGGCCTGGCTCTTGGATTTGGCCAACATTATCAACAGCAGCAGCAGTAGCAGCAGCCTTTTGCTTGAAAAATAATGAGGTTTCTTTTTTGAGAAAAAAAAGTGGCCATAGAAAAGAGCTAAGAATGGAGAATAGTTGAGGATGTTGGGATATTTTAATAGCCAAACAAAAGTTATTAGAAGTTGGCCAAGTCAAAGAAATTAGGACACTTATTCTTAGTTTCTTGGAAAAATATTAAACTTATTTCTTAAAAAACTAAGTAAAGGTTTTAAATTTAAACGAAATAAAATACTTTTTGCCCTTTTGTATAAGTTTTAAATATAATTCTTTGAAAATATACCAGATCTTGTCCTCTAGCCTATCAGTCTGTCTGTTTCTTGGTTCTAAAGAAGCTTATTTTTAAGCTACTGCTGAAGCCCTATTATTACTATTATAGCTTACTATTTAGCATTCATAACTTGTCTAAATTGTAAAGCTTAATTAAAAAAAACTAAACAAACCCTTGAAAATTGTATAATAGACAAGTTAACCAGTTGATTGGACAGCCACAACACCCCCTACTTTCAAATGACAATTTTGTACAAATTCAGAGCAAATAGTCGGGCCAGAATTTAATATATATACCAGAGCATATATGTATATATATAGAGCTTGTCCGTTTGTCTGGCTCGTGTGTGTTTACCTGGGGTATACGGCCGGAGTCCGTCGTCCGTTTTCCTGAGTCCGGTCCCTGTCCGGATACACGATGTTGTGGCTGGGCAAGAGAGCTCCAAGTTGTGCAAACAATCATAAATAAAGCAAGCAATCAAACATACTGTTGTACTCTGATTACCCTAATTTGTATGCCACAATTTGACACATGACAATTGACACTTAGTTACAATGGTGGCAGTGGCCATGTGGCAAATGGCAGTATGGTCGTGTGGCAATGAGGCAAATGTGGCAGCCCAAGCGTACATATTTGGCAATCGTTTATTTTAGAGCCAATTGAATTTTAAGTAGTCAACATGCATATGACATAAGTACGTAAAACAGAAGGGTTGCACATGCAACATGCTTGTAGCGTGTGTGTGTGTCTGTTTAGTTGCACAAACAATTTGCATCTCGATGCATGCATGGCGTCGATAAAAATGTCCTGCCAACCGCCCACCCGATAGCCATCCGTTTTCGGCCATAAATATGACAAGTTGAAGCCATTGAATAGTTTCATTTTGGGCCAGTTTTTTTTTTGGAAGGGAATGGAGGGGGAAAATTAATTGGCCAAACTATTTGGCTTTAATGTCCTGTGTTCTGTGTCCTTCATTCATTGCTGGCAAGTATCGTGCGAGTGTCATCACAGATTAAAGCCCTCGAATTGATGGTCCTCTGTGCGTGGTTTTATTATTATGGCACCTTGACATGCAAATCGATTAGAAATACTTTTCCAAATTTTTATTTCGACATTAAATGAGTTGTTTTCAGAGAATAAGTTTACTTATTAAACAGATATTGATAGAGAATCCTTTAGCTACGGAATTAAAATCAACGCGACTATGATTTTGATTCTGAATCCGACTCCGGTGTCGCCGGGTCTGGGTTCCTGTTGCTTTTCCTGCCACACAGCCGGTACATGCCGGAGGGCAACCGTCACATTGCACCAGCCTGGAATGTCCTGGATGCATCCTCCTAGCCACCTTCTACTCCTTCTGCTATCCTCCTCATGAGCCCATGAATAATTCCCACTTCAATTCCATTTTGTATATTTCATTTTTCTTTTTTGCAGAAGGCAGTTTGGAAAAAACATACATCACGGCATCACACAGCGTCAGCGACAGACAACACACGAAGGACGAGCCAGGACGAAAGGACGAAAAGTATTGGCTAACTGACTGACTAAAGGGATATTCGAGAATAAACCATTTCGAGGTAAAGTACTCGCATAAACCTTATTAATTAATAACAGACCTGGCCCTGTTCTTTTTTTTGCTGCGGTTAATCCTTTGGCATGTATCCTTTTACCAGGACTTGACCAGATTTCACTAAAAAGTTGTGAACATCCATTTCTTTTTTAGTCGTTTTTTTGTGAGGTATCCCACCGTCGAACAATCAATTTAGTTAGGGTTTTATTTTGGTTTTGTTTACGCCACCGCCGCTACTCTGCACTTAAATAAACTTTTGTGTCAAAATTTTATCAATTATTCAGTTAAAATGCATTGCAAATCCTGTTAAAACTCAGCGCCAGCAATAGCATTTTCAGTCGAGCCTCGGAATCAACTGGCCATCACACAATGGCCAGCTTTTTTCTCTCATCCAAGAGGTCCAGGGGAGGTCTTTGCGTGGGTAGGGTGGTAGTAGGGGTAGAAACCATGTCACTGGCCACATATGGCCATTTGTCAATTGAATGATGGGAATATGAATTTATGGCATTAAAATCTTTTGGTTTTTCGGCCGTTTGGCCATTTGGACGTTGGACGTTGGAATGAAAGCGAAAATGAAACGAAAATGAAAAAGCTTCAACCGGAAAACAAAGAGCGAATCGCTGTCCGCCAGTCCCACTGTCCTTCTGTCCGTTTGTCCGTATATATGGTTGGTGTGAAAGCGGACAAAAGCTGACTAGGATCAGAAGGCCCGGCAAAAGCGGATTATACGTATTTCGTAAAAACAAAAACCGGCAAAAAGAACAAAAAACAAGGCGTGTTTAAAAAAAAAAACAGAAAACAAAAAGATGGCAAATAGTTGACGATATGGCCAAATGGCATTGTCGCATACAAGTCAACTGAAAACACACACGATTGTCACACACTGCCAGGATGTTTTCCTGAATGCCTCCTCTCACTCTATGAGGAAAATAAAAAAAAAAGGATATTCTATGAAAAAAGGTAAAGTGGAGTAGCCATCATCATGTGGTATTAGGTTTCAATCGATTTATTGTTTAGACAACAAAAAATACTCCTAGTTTTCAATTCAAAAGATAAAAGATCAACTATAACTTTTATATAGACTCTTAAAAGTCTCATGTTATTGCAAGCTCTCCCTGAATATCCAGAAAATAGACAAGCAGTCTGAGGGATTTGTGGGGAATCCAACCAACAGGCACTTGTCTAAGCGATTTTTGATTACACTTCCGACGGAAATTATCATATATCCTTCTGCTTGAATAATTTCCATGGAAATTCGCGACAAGGCGACGAGTTGGGCTCCCCCAGTTGCCTTCACCATCAATAAATACACTTTCCTCTTACTCTGATATGCCAACACTGCGCAGACTGCACCAGTTGCAATCCATTTCGAAAAATCTATAGACCCCGGACGGAAAAAGGACGAAGGAAATGGCTGAGGGGACTGGTGGCTTAAGGACACCCTCTCCCCTAAACGTGAGGCAACGAAACCAGACACTAATTAAAGGCATTTGTTGTAGCAGTTTCATTCAATTAATTATTTCGGCTATCAACGCTGTCAATCTTTTTATCAAGAAATCTGCCAGCCAGCAGCCCAGGGACTAGGACAGCGCCCAGGACCTGACGGGGTCCTGTGAGAGTTTGGAGTTCTGGGCTGCACAACTTATTTGTTGTTTTGGCAGACAGGAGCAGTTAGGAAAAAACATAGCACATAACACATTAAATCTTTTAGTTTTTAAAGACTAAAAGTATTTTTTATTGTTGGGAAGCTGTAAGTGTTCTTATGTGTTGAAAGAAAGTAACTGGAATATAAGCTTTTAAGTTTAAACACTTGTTAGACTTGCTTTTTCTTTAAATATTACTTTTTCACTACCAAAATGTTAATTTAGAAAACCCCAAATATTTCTCCAAGTGCATTAGATCGTAAGAGACGTATAAAAGCCAAAAACTGGAGCGGTTTCAGCTGGCCAACGAAAAACAATGCTTTGTCTTTACGTTTTTAGCAAACGCGTTGATTCCTCTCCTGGTCGCAGGAGTATTTAGTCCTCCAGCCCCCCATTCCGTCTATGCTCTTCTCACGTTTCTGCAGACTTCAACCCGTAACCCCCTTGTGAAGTCTCACCGTACGTCCATGT